ACTCGCGAGAGCCAAATGGCCAAACGTCACGAACAAAAACGATCGAGTTCCGCAACAATTACGAAGAAGCTACTGAGATGGTGTGTAGGATCACGTAGTGGCTGACCGTAAGAAGGTAAAGGAACGTGTTTTGGGTTCTAATGCAAGTTCAAGAAGGAACTACATGTTCTCTAGAAACCAAGAGACGATGAAGGTACCAGTAGGGTGTACATTTCATTAGGTTGGTTCAGGATCTTTTCGAGGATAACCCCATGGACCTACATGTCCTCAGATCTCCCAGAAGGAAAGGGAGGAGCTACACTGCTAACCACGAACACATTATCCGACCACATAAAGGAATCGTCCAACCAAATCTAAACATATAGCTGTCACATTTACATCCTCTTGCAAGCTCCCACATGGCTTTGCTCCCCTTGCAATGCAACGTTTGAAAGATACAGATCTGGACTGAGGTGCTTCCTCTTCAATATAAGTAGAGGACTACGTTTGGTGATCCCAAGCACATCCAAGGCTTTTCCATCGGTCTAAGGGTTTGTTTGCCGGAGAAAAGTGCTTGTTCAGCCCGGTTAACCATGTTGAGTCCCAAGAGGCTTGTCGAGAAGGCAAAGAGGGGTTTCCCGTTGATGAGAGCTCCCAGTTCCAGCGCTTGCACGACAGTGGTCGCTGAGAAGGGCCATTTTGTGGTGTACACTGTGGACGATGCGAGGTTCATAGTCCCATTGGCGTTCCTCAAGAGCCGTCTATTTCAGGAGCTACTAAGGGTGTCGGAGGAGGAGTTTGGACTACCAGGCGATGGGCCGATCACGTTGGCGTGCAGCGCGGTTTCCATGGAGTACATCCTCTCCTTGCTCGGTAGACGCATGTCCGGAGATGTGGAGAGGGCTTTGCTTGCCTCCATCATCGATGCAGACCGGTGCAGGCTGGTTCATCCCGGATGTCACCAGCAACAAATAATAGCGTCGTAGAAGCACAAATGTTTCCGTCTACTGAATCGTGTGTCGCATGTACAGAGATTTCCCACCAGCAGAAGTTGGTTGTCCATTTGCTTTCAAGGTTGTCAAAGGCCAAGTACGGGAGCCTTTGCTTTTTGAGTCCTCACTATCCTCCCAAGTCCAACTGGGAGTTGGGATGGGTCTTCGTTAGGGCTTTTCAGATTTTGAAGCCTGGCTTCTTGTATTTCTTTGGTAATAATTAGATCCTTTTTTCTTGTATTTAGTTGGTAATGACCAATCTTGTGATCATTTTGTTTTGGATGTCCCTATTGCTTCTTGAACTTACTTTTGTAAAGCTCTTGTGTGAAGGACTTGATGGTTAATGGCAGTGGGATCAACATACTATTGTTTAAGCTTGATTTCGATGAAGTGGATTGTACTTATCATTTTATATATTTCTCTTTTTTTTCTTCGAAAAATTTATTTTGTCGAAAACTTTTACACCATTATTTTTTTTATTGTTGACTGGATGGAGAGATTCAAAATCTTTATCAACTAAACTAATCATTACTTTCATGTTCATCGTATTCTTATAAGTCAATTTATATTTTCACTCTCTTCGGACATGGGATTAGAGGAAGATATCACAAACGTAGCTTCTGAACAAATATTTTTTAAAAAAAATATTCGTCTATTCGCAAGTGAAAGATTTTAACAAATTAGCGTAATAATTTTTTTTTTGTTTGAAAAAAAAAAACAAACATGTTTTCAAATACATATATGCATACTAGCGAACAATAAAAATCTATTAGCAATTCCAAATCCAACAAAAGAAAGAACAAGCACATGAGCTACAGAACCCTTCGGCACACTGTAGGTCCATCTTTACCTTATCCAAACAGCATATTCATGTCAGCAATGCCACTGTTCTCACAGACACAAAATTTCCAGCTCAAACTGCACTGAAGTCATAAAAAGACTCAACCAATGGTATCAAAGGACCATCAATGAGTGGCTTCGGGGAAGCTTCCGCCAACCCCTCCTCATCCTTCATTGAAAGCCTGGGCCATATGGTAGCCAAGAACAAAGCATAGTAAGCTTCCCTCCGAGGAGAAGTTGTGCCATCGCTCTCATCAACCACAAACATGAGCAATTGAAGTGTTCTCGCTGGCGTGCACATGCCTCGCCCTCTCTCCAACCCAACATGGACAAGACATGGGTGTCAAGGCATCGCAGTTTCCCCGTAGTTCGTTGATTTGGTTAACATATATTAACACATATCGAATCAAACATAATTCAATCTAAAATTTTAAGTTTTTAGATTGAATATATCTCTCGATATTATTAATATAAGATTATTCCGTTAATCTCTCTTCACACAAATATTTTCTATCAGACATGATTTATGATGTTAAAATATTTTAAAATTATAATTTATATAGTTTGAAAATATTTTCTGTATTTATCAAATAAACCAACACACAATAAATAATGTGAAAGCATTGGTGCATGAATTTATGATATATATATATAAGTCATTCTATCGAAAAAGATAGACCATTAATTTTTTGCTGTAGAGATGAAAACCATGTATTCTACGTTGATAAAACTGTTTATATTTTGATTCGCTCGATGTATATTTCAGTCTGTATGGTTATTTTTATAAGAGTTTCTTAAGCATCTTAAACAAAATTCATGGAGTAGTTAATTTTTAATCAATGGAATTGAGGCCCTAATCCTATTCATAAAATGGTAGCTACCTTAAACTCTAGAAAATGTTGGTATACCTGTGTGTCTTGACGGAGACACATTATATCATATGTTCTCAATCCATTATTTTAGCTTATTAATTAATAAAATAATTATTAGTAATGTATGTGCCTGAAAGATATGAGTTAGAAAAATCTGATTCGTATGAGATGAAAGTTAATATGACAGAAGCGTAGAGTAAAATATGCTCAAGACACGTGAGTTGGGAAAACCTGACTTATAAGAGAAGATATCAAACGCTCTTGTATTGAATAAACTAAACGTCGCAATTCGAGCTACTCTCGTAAGAGCTCCGAAGCATATCTTCGAAGGGAGGGGGACAAATAATAAGGAGTATAATGTCGGTTAATCATCATTTGACACGTAATCGTCACATGAGATCCAGGTCACCTTCCATTCGTCTGTCAACATGGACAAGAGTCCACAGAATATTCTATTGAATATGTTACTCCCGTGGAATATTTTGTCCATTTGCGACTAAATATAAAAATATATCCTTAACATAATAAAAAAAATTTACCTTTTTTTTACTGCTCATGTCCACACTCAAAGATTTTGGATTACTAACTTGAACGTTGAATGATTAGGTTGAAAAACCTCTCTTGACCTTAGTCTTCATGTACGTGATACCTCGGGAGCTCGACGTTTTCACCTTGGACAACCCTGTGCATGTGGGTCCAGATCACGTCAGACTAACTAAAACGTCAATAATATTTTCTCTCATCATAATTTAACTATTATCCACTCGGATCATATTCTTGACTGATTAACTAAATTAACCATTTAATATGAGTTAGAAATGCAAATGGTTCGAATAATATCTCTTTCTTTTTCAGAAGATGAATAACGAAAAAACAGTCAAAAACTTTCTATTTACATAATGTATATTTGTCACGTATATTCTGCATCATTATATGTAATGGAAATAAAACTACTAGGATTTGAACTTGGCTTAAATCATGACAAGAGAACCCCTAGTGATCTATTACTCATGTAAATAGGAACCATTTCCACACTCTTTGCTACTTAAATCCTACGAGTTTTCAGAAGAAAGCAAAAGAATTCTTAGTGATGAAACCCACCACTTCTCCCACTCGTTGCTCAAAAAGAATCAAAGCCATTGCTAACGAAATGCAAGCTTCATTTCTAGTGTAAGTCCAACAGTAGTAGTGACAAAACTACTTAGATCCGGATATGTGTCATTAAAATCATTTCTACGGCACTATCCCTGCTGTCGTAATAGTGTTTCGACCACCACAACAAAAATCTATTTGGGAGCATTATAAATGATATAAATAGACTCGTAACATCAATCAAACTAATTTCAAATCTAAAAATTTGATACATCTACGTGCAAAATAACTAAAGATGTTTTTCAATATCTTTATAAGTTCATAGAAATACTATAATATTATTGAAAAATATTGTAAGTGGGTCAAATAGAATCAAAACACATTAACAAGTATTTGATACATCATACTATAATTCAAATAGGTATTTATAATAATTTAGGATTTTGATCACCATAATAAAAATATTATAAATGACCCGAATAGATTCCTAATCTTAATCAAATTAATTACAACCCTAAAAATATGATATTGTAATAATCTACCGATGATAACCAAAGAAACAGAATATACTGCCACTTACAATATTTTTAATAGTTTTATAATAATTTTAATATCTTAATAAAAATATTAAATGATATTAAAAATATAAATAAGTCAAATAAAATTAATGTAACGGTTGAAAAAATTGATGAAAATTTTTTATAGGAAGAATTCGTGAGAGGTATTCTGAATATTTTTTTAATGAGGGTTATTTTTTGAGAAAAACCAAAAAAATAGACATCTTTTGATAAAACTGAAAAAAAAAAAATTATATGGGTTCTCTTGTCATGATTTAAGCATTAAGGAATAATATCTTCTATCAATCTACTTTTGTGCTTCCATTAATATGAAGAGTGATGAAATCTAATTAAATTATTTATTTTATATTATAAGATATCCTTTCAAAAACATTATATATATGGAATTCACAGAGACAATAATTACAAACCTTTTCCCTACAGTTCGTTCAGTTCATTTCAAAGGGGTGCATCTCGAGAACACTAATTGAGCTGATACCTTATTGAGTACCCCCACTGGGCAACTTGGCGTTGTTTCACAAGATTGCATACTTCCCTTGCACTAAAAGTTTCCATCACCACCACAACCCACGCTCACACAAAACCCATCTTCTTCCTGTTCACATCCTGTCTTTGCCAGTCTCCATACATCGAGTAGAGACGTATAAGATGTGAAGTTGAGTAAAAGCTCAGAGTCGGTCGCTTCGCCTTCCATTTCAGACCCTTCTCAGATCAATCGATGGCCTCGGGCAAGGCGACTGTCGTTCTTTTATGTGGTTGTTGTTTCTTGGCCATGCTTGTTGGTGCTGAGGACCCGTACAGGTTCTTCGATTGGAACGTCACGTTCGGAGATATCTACCCTCTGGGAATCCGGCAGCAGGTGCTCTGTGCTGTTCTTTATCCTCTCTCTCTCTCCCCCTTTCTATCAACATCGCCAAGATTTGTGGTTCAACGTTTCCTTTTCTTGGGTGGATCGATCCGAATGAACACAGGGGATACTGATCAATGGGCAATTCCCAGGGCCGGATATCCATTCACAGACCAACGACAATATTATCGTAAACGTATACAACAGCCTGACAGAGCCCTTTCTCATCTCATGGCAAGTCTCCTCTTCCTCTCTCTCTCTCTCTCTCATGTGCATGCGAAAGGACCTCCTCCTCGGAAGTTCATCATAGCTTTTCGTATTAATGATCAAGACATTTGCATCGCAACGAAACAAAGAGGTCATTCATGTCGCTTTCGCAATGGATTAAGTGCAAAAGACCAGAATCTTATTGTCCCATATGGTCACCTAAATTATGTTGCTCTTTAACTCTTAGTCCTTGTAGAAAAGGCTCAAACTTGTTGCCCATGCATATAGAAATGCATAAATGGTTATTGGAAAGAGAATTAATGGACTGAGCTGAACACTCGAAGCTATAAACATTCATGGAACCGAAAGAAATCGATATGGTAAACTGAGTTCTCTTAGTACGCAGTCATGCACTTCTAAGAATAAGCACTTTGGGTCGCTTACTGATGATTCCGGAGCTATTGATGCTGTCTATTTTCTAATTAGGATATAGTAGCCCACTTCCTAAAGCTAAAAAGGGGACGCCATCAATGTATCGGCCATACGGAAATCATGCTAACTTGCCCTTCAGTCCTTGTCCTCGATTGGTAGCTAATGGAGTTTACGTAGCTGGAAATGTTTGCTGCGGAGGTAAACGAATGGCAGGATGGCAAGCTGACCAGGTTCTCTGATTCGGGAAGCAGGAACGGGGTGCAGCAAAGAGGGAACTCATGGCAAGATGGCGTCTCGGGGACCAACTGCCCCATCCCACCCGGGAAGAACTTCACTTACGTGATGCATCTCAAGGACCAAATCGGCAGCTTCTTCTACTTCCCGTCCTTGGCCTTCCACAAGGCGGCCGGCGGCTTCGGGGGCATCCGGATCCTGAGCAGGCCCCGCATCCCCGTGCCCTTCGCCACCCCCGCCGATGACTTCACCCTCCTCATCGGTGATTGGTACAAGGCCGGTCACTCGGTATGAGAACTCCATCATCTCCTTGATTGTTCTTTCGACTCTGCTAATTCGTTCGAAAAATATTTGTGAATTCAAGATTGATATCATGATAAAAATTTGACTAAAACTGCTTTTAGTCGAAAAACAAAAATCACAGCGGTGATAAGATCTGTGGGGTTGTGAGCATTGGTGGCGTTGGTCACACACGAGTGTGATGCTGGAGAGTCGTCTCGGGAATTGGTCATGTCTCATTGGTGTGCAACCATGCCATCATTTGACACGATACCAAATCACGCAAATGATGTATATATACTATTTTTGAATTTATAGTTTATTAGTCATTAATTCTTTCAATTGGTTATTTGCATGATCATATTATTGTACCGTCTTTTAATGTTGTCGAGTAGGTTCTAAAAGCCAGGTTGGACCGCGGCAAGAGGCTCCCCTTCCCGGACGCCATTCTCATCAATGGCCGCAGCTCCAATGGCGCCACCTTCGCAGTCGATCAAGGTTGGTATCGCTTACTCATGTCGCACATCATGAGTTAGCTACGTCTTCCATCTCTGTGTTGGGCGCTGCAGGCAAGACGTACAGGCTGAGGATCTCCAACGTTGGGCTGCAGAACTCGTTGAACATCCGGGTGCAGGCGCACACGATGAAGCTGGTGGAGGTGGAGGGCACTCACACCTTGCAGAACGACTACTCTTCCCTCGACGTGCACGTCGGCCAGTCGTTGTCGGTGCTGGTCACCGCCGACCAGCCCGTCCGGGACTACTACATCGCCGTGTCCACCCGGTTCACCAACCCCGTCCTTACCGCCACTGCCACTCTTCACTACCGCAACTCGAAGCAGAAGGCGTCGGGATCCATCCCGGCAGGGCCTACGGGTCAGATCGATTGGTCTCTGGAGCAAGCGCGCACGATCAGGTGCACATTTCAATGCTGTGCTGCATCTCATTCCCATTCTTCACCTACTTTTCTGCAAGCATAACGTTGCGCAGGACGAACCTCACTGCAAGCGGGCCAAGGCCGAATCCGCAGGGCTCATACCACTATGGCTCGATCAACGTGACCCGGGCGGTCCGACTCGCCAACTCAGCCGCCCAGGTGAACGGCAAGCAACGTTACGCGGTGAACAGCGTCTCGTTTGTGGAAGCGGACACCCCCTTGAAGCTCGCCGATCACTTCAAGATCGGCGGCGTCTTCCGGCTCGGGAGCATCGCCGACTACCCCCCGGGCGCCAAGGAGCACCTCGACACCTCGGTCATGGCGGCCGACTTTCACGCCTTCGCGGAGATCGTGTTCGAGAACAAGGAGAGCATCGTCCAGAGCTGGCACCTCGATGGATACAACTTCTGGGTCGTCGGGTAATCCCTCCGCAAAACCAAGCTTGCTTGCAGCCAAATTCAACTTCTTGATGTTGGTATCTCATTATGGTTTTCAGAATGGATGGTGGAAAATGGAGCCCGGACAGACGAAGGGATTACAATCGCATCGATGCAGTGTCTCGCTGCACTACCCAAGTAAGATGAGAGTTCTGATTCTTCTCTCAGAAAATGATACATTGTCTCTGCTTTTGACCTGCACGAATCGGAGCAAGCTTGTCGCTGAGCTGATTCTTGCAGCTATTAGTATAACTCTTTGCAAAAGAAAAATGCTGACAGTTTCATCTCTCCTCGCTCTCTTTAATCTCTCAAACTAATACTGGTCTGATACTTTGCCAAGTTTGTTCAAAGGAGCTCAGAATTAACACTCTCTCACCAACTGATATGTGAAGGTATATCCCAAGTCATGGACTGCTGTTTACGTCGCCCTCGACAACGTGGGGATGTGGAACCTGCGGTCGGAGTTCTGGGGGCGCCGGTATCTCGGTCAGCAGTTCTATCTGCGTGTCTACTCTCCTGTGGAATCAGTAAGGGACGAGCATCCAATCCCAAACAACGCCCTTCTCTGTGGTAGAGCAGCTGACCGATCTACTCGCCCACTCTAAGCTAAGGCTGGCTTAAGGGAAGAAGCTCCTGCTGATATTTCAATCATATCATCTCACCTATAAGATTTGTGCTGAAGACATTCGGTCCAAATGTTCTAAGGTTTCTTTTCTTCTTGGCAATAAGTTCTTTTCCCAAAGAGTACTCTCAATATTTATGTAGCCACGTAAGTTATATTCTCACGAGACAAGCATTTAATTTTAACTCATCAATTGATGGCTGCATAATTCCAATATCTAACGTTGATAGATTATAGCAGCGGAGAAGAAGAACTTCTTCCTAACAACGTACTACTAAAAGAATGAATGAGAAAGGAGCTGCATGTGTTACCTTCTTTTCATATTCTGGGCATGTAAGTGTTTGCTTTCTCCCTTATAATGAGAGCAATATAGGGCTTGTTCGGGAACAAGATCTGTCAAATGGGCTTTACAAAGAGAAGCTAGCAGAGTTCAGTTGGCAGGATGCCCACCTCCATCTGTAAGCTTCTCTTGTTCATGGGAGATGGATGATTTGGAGGTGGACAGAATGCCAATAACCTCTGCAAGCAACCCTTTGGTAATCCCACATGACGTCGACCACGAACTAAATGAGACGCCGCTGCCTCCACCTTATGATACTGCTGACCAAGAGAGGGGACATATTGTGTTTGTGCAAGGGGAAGAGAGAGATACATAGAGAACCACCGCTGATGGGGTTCTTCTTCTCGTGCAATGCACATTACAGCAGACAAGATGGAGTGGGGTTTCAATCATGTCTCTCCTTCTTTCTTCTCAAATCCTTCTATATAGAAAACGAAGGATTGGAAAGTGCGAAGGATGTGTGCGTGTGAGAGAGAGAGAGGATATTAACCGGAAAGGTAAAAGGAAACACACAACTTTCCTGCCTCCCAATACTAACAAATCCCTCTCTTTTTCCCTCGGACACGCACAGTCATAGAAGAAAGTCCCAGTTCTGTTCTTGACCACTTCCTATGGGGAAACAGAGACTGCAAGGATGAAGAGAGTGCAGTGCCACTTTGAGTGAAAGGTAAATGCAGGTGTGACTTCGGCTATAGGTATTGGGTTCTTAAAGGCCTAACATTTCCTTGCTAAACAGTGGAAAGACTGGATTCGTCAGAGAGAGCTGCAGCTGCTGCAAGTCAAAAGGCGTGGCGCTGTTTAATGGGAGTGGAACTGGCAGGAAAGCAGGGACAGCAAAACACTAGTTGAAGATTTGGTGTGGTCTTTGTCATGGAAAAAGACTAGTTTAAATGAACAAATGGTATTGGATGGAGAGGACAACGATGGTACCACTTGCATTCAGTCCTCGCTTGCTCTAACTTTCGAAAAGCAAACTTGTTATCAGAGTCATGGAAAGATGCTGGATCATGGGAGACATTATCGCTTTTGAAGAACTCACTCTAGTGTTCTTACAGCCCTCCCTTTTTTTGTTTGCAGGAAAAAGAGCATCCATTTCTTGCTTCCTCCAACAAGATACTTTAATCTACAACTGCAAGCATATATTGGGTATGGAAAAGGAACCAAATTAAGAATATTGGCTATAGATTATGATATGACACATTTCGGTATCACCCGTGTGGATCCAAGCAAGCAGACGTCACGATGTTGACATGGAACTTTAAGTCGATATGACGTGAAGCACACACATGGTAGGCAGCCGCTCGTTGCTCCCTCCGTATGAACAACATCATCACGATACAGTCGTCTCGGAAAGCTCAGGGAAGCACCGTGCGGCGCCGATCCGTGTAGGCCGATTGGCGCTCGCACAAAAGCTTAAGTCGACCGCTCGAGAAGTTGGTTGTAGTTAATTAACCATGTACGATCAACTCTCCTTGATCATAAAGGTGGATACTCAACTCCCCCTAACTCTACAACACTGACTTGAATTTTAGAGGGATCGAGTTGGAAAATCTCCTTCCAAACTTCGACCTTTACGTAGAAATCGACAACGAAGTAGTAGCAACCTCCTGACGGAGAACCGCACTCGGGATACGACGCTTTGACCTAATCCGACCCGACGTCGATGTGACCCGAGCATCCACATACACAACCTTGTGCATTCAGGATTGGACTGAGCTATGCTGACATTTCTACAACGACGCAAAGGTTCGCCAACAGATTCAAATTTCTTCAGCTATTGTTTAATGAAAGAACTCAAGAACGGCAAAAAGGGTAAACAGAAGGCACTGAAGGAACTGTACCCCATAGCACAATTGTCTTCTCATCCACAACCATTCATGGTGCCACGACCCTCACCCCCAGCATCACTTGCGAATGAAGTCCTGTGCTGCACAACAGCTCGTCAACCAGCTTCTTTCCACGTCTAATCCCCTTACTCGCCATGCATTTAATTCGCAGCAAATTTACTTCACCAAAGGAGGGAAGTATGCGGCGTGGAAGGTCATAAATAAGATGTCGAACGGAGCAAGTATGCGTGGATGGCCAAGTGCGACATAACTCACTGTGGATGTCTTGGAGATGGCGACCCTAAGGCAGAGAATCTAGTGATGAGTATCCATGGCTCATCTTCCCCGGTAGTCTCAGGTCAAACCCGTTCTTCGATGAGAGAGAAGGATGAGTGTCTTTTCGGTCACTGCTCTTAAGCGCATGCGGACGACACGAAAGCTTACAAATAGCTTATCGAAGGCTTAGAAGACCTTGGACTCGAACTCGTTATGCTCCAGTTTGGATGTTGTCATCGTTGTGGGCTGCTGTTACTGTCCGCAATACTTCAGCTTCATGCTATTGTTTTATGCAAACCGAATCAGCATTCGTCTTATCCTTATCATCCATCCCAGCATAACCACATTTAAGTTTGAAGTTTTGAAGGATCCGTTGCATTAAGCAAAAGAGTGAAATTGAACAGTGTCGTTGCTTGGAACAATTGCTGGTGCATTAATTCCACATTGAAGAGCAAACTCCTCAAAATTTCACCATGAATTATGTTCCTCGAAAAATGAGAAAACCATTAGAAAATGTTTCAAATATTTAAGAAATTAGTCTTTTGTTCTTTTTGAAAAACAAAAAAAATCATATTTTCAGAAAGAAAATAGCTTTGCCTTCTCTTATATTCGAAAAAAAAAAAAATTGATCTCGTTTCTTCTCTAAGCAATCGAACAATTACTATACGTGAACGAGTATAGAATGAGCACCAGATCGGGCACTGATAAAAAACATTACTTATCGTTAAACAGTTCCTTCAGCACAGCTGAAACCGCTTAGTACCCATCGAATCGAAGCATATTGCATTATTTTAACGTTAAAGCTATAGTGGTTATAAGTATTATTACTTTGACAACGACGATTCGGCATCACAATCTTAAATATTTCCAGTCTCCATATGGTTGGAAAAGATTGGAGAGGAGAGCCGAGTCTACCGCCCTATCCGCATCAAACTGTGGGCAGGTCTCGTTATCATGTCTGCACTGATCTGGACTTCCAAGTTATTATTTGGCCCCCACGTTGTCCGTCCTTGGGTGGCTCCATGTCCAATAATGCAACCGAGTGACCCGCACAAGCGTACTGTATACGTGGAACGCGTCTATACGAGCCAAGGATGTGCGATGTGTGTCATGCTATGTTTTGGAAGCCACGACTCATCCTTATCGGAATCCCTTAATGTACGCCCTATAATAAAACACTTAATCCTTATCAACATCCTGAGATTGTTTTAGTATGGCTTCAAAAGACCGTCCTAACATCAAACTCCAACTGATTACGTTGGTTAGGTTGGAATTATGTATAATAGGACATTGCTCCTCCATCCAATCGATCATCGATTGATCCAAACCGACGCAACCGCTTTTAGATTTAAAAGCTACTCTTATATGTATATGTATTTACAGTTACGGCCTTTCGCAATCCGAAGTAACAAATACAAGTAAGAAAACAGGGGGAGCATAATGGTCCTCCCACAGGGCTAGGAGATGCAGCGGAGCGAGTGCATGGAGGCGGCGGAGTCTATGGCGGGGTCGTCGAAGGCACGGTGGTGGTGGTCGCTCTCCACTAGGCCGTAGTCCATGAGGGGGCGGTGCTCCAGCTCCTCGTCGTGGTCCTCAACGAACTCCGGCACCTCCACCTCCCCTCTCCTCATGTGCTCCCAAAGGAACTCCAGGCGGCTCACGTACCGCAGCTTCCGGTACAACCTGTATCGCCACAGTGAGAGGATGTGATAAAGGAGGGAGAAATCTCAATTTAATAGCTCCAACAATAGAGATAAAATTTGGTCATGCGGCCATTTTTTCTCGGTAGATAGAATTAAGCATTTCAATTAAACCCCTAATTATTCGTTAATTAATAGAACGAGCCCTTATCCCGTTAACGACAATTCCGTTGGGTTGGAACTGATCGAAAACCGTTTTCCGCCGTGGAAGGAACGACTCGGTGCGCCAGGAGGAGCGGAACACGATCCCGGCGCAACGTTAACGGCAAGGTAGGCGTGACTCACCCGGCACTGAAGAGGAAGCGACCGAAGGTGGCGAAGAACAGGCGGGCCTGCAAGCCCGGGTGCACGAAGTAGACGGCGCGCAGCCCGTCGCGGACGGCGGCAGGGAGCGCCTCGTAGGCCGACCGCAGCGCCGCCACGCCGGGGAAGTTTTCGGACCGCTGCACGAGGGAGTGCATGTACACCACCACGAACGGCGCCCCGCCGATCTCCGGGAACACCCTCCTCTCCAGAAAACCCTGCAGCGCCTCCTCGCCGCCTCCACCCTGTCCCGCGCCCATCAATTCCCTCGCTGTCGCAGACGAATCCGGAATCAGAGACAGATCGAAAGACTCAAACAAGACGAACAAAAGGATGCGGATCAACCCTTCGTACCGGGAAAGAACTTGCCGACGATGCGGAGGATCTTGCGTCCCTTCTTGTCCCGGCCCTGGATCTTGAATGCCTCTTCCAGCAGCCTCTCGGCGCGATCGACGCTCATCATGTATTTGGTAGAATTCGTGAAACAAATATGCAAGGTAGGACGCTGTCCCGATTCTTGCTGAGGGGAGGGAGGGAAGAAACGGGGGGGTTGTTATATAGGAGGAGAGGCGGGGTGAGATGAGGGGGACGAGAACCTGATTAGGAAGAAGAATTTTCTAACGGAATATACCGTATTGTAGCGGAGCGTGAGGTAGGACTGACGTGACACGGGCGGGTCGTCACGTGGAGGCTCACGTGGTCCGTTGGTTCCCATGTCTGGGTCGGCGCGGTGAGGTACGCAACGGGCAAAGCCACATAAATGGTTCTGAGAACCTGCCTTGCAATTGCATGACGCGATGGACCCAGCAGTGGGCTCCATCAGTCCCGGACACGTGACGGTGGTAAAATGCTAGCTTTGGATGCCTACGAATAGTGGACCCCATGGGTGTGTGTGACCTTTGGGTCCGTTTCCTTTCCTCTCCGAATCTTCATCTCTCTGTCGTGACTGCCCCCTCACGTTTTTGTTGAAGTTATCCGCTTCCAAATCACGTAAATGTCAGATTAGGATTGGGTCCTCGATATGAAGATATTTTAATAGGATAATCCAGCTTCCCTTACCTTATTGGTGACATGTTTTCCATGACTACAAGTTTTGATTCCAACACTTTATAGCGATCAAAAACTATATAATGTTTTTATAAGTCTTCCAACTCAGAAACTAAAGTTAATGTCTGACTAAATACGAGAGCATCAAGGTATTGAGAGCTCTTCTTTTTTTTCTTGGGTTCTTCCCATAGATATAGAAGATGGACCACAATATACGTCAGAGTGCTGTGTGCCGGCTTTTTGTCAGGAAATAAAGCCAATAATGTCAGCTTCGCGACAAAATATAACTTGATGTTGAAGATTGATGTATGCAAGTTGTCGAGTGTGGGAAAATACTGTACGAGAAGGTGCGTCGGCTAACTTCAGACTCGTAAATTTAGTACGATTTGGGTGCTCTCGTTGCGTGAAAAGGAAGAGAAACTCATTGCAGTTGGGCTCTTCAATTCTCATCGATGGCGATAAGTTTGCAGGTCAATAATTGCGAAGATAAAAAGAAAAAGCCAAGAGAGGCTTGTGAATGGGGGGAGATTCGCCCAGCCATTGCCCGCAGGGCACGCACAGATGTTCGTTTGGAGGGTGGTGAGGAATCCAAAGTCCGGCGCCTCACGGTCGACGTCGGAGGTGTTGTCGGGAGGGAGGGAGAGATGTAATGTACAGTGTTGGAGACAGATCTGTCGCTTCTATCCACATGTGATCCCCTCCATCTGAGGGCGTGACGGTGTTGATTTCTCGGGTGGAAAGCTGGATGGAATTTTGGGTCTCGCGATGGGGAGTAGTGCAGCGTGTCATACTGTTGAGACTCTCGATTGGATCCAACCTCTACAGGAAACTATTTTAAGACGAAGAAGGCCGCCGACGGAGGGAGGAGATAATATTGATTTACCGAGCGCTGCCTCATCTCACCACTTAGACCGCGTCAAATGGGATGGTGAGGGGTCCGAGGCTTGCACTTTGGACCAGCATCGTGATATGACTCGTTAGATCCACTAGGCTACGACAATAAAAATAAGATAGGGATTTTTAGTTAGTTACCTTAATATCTCGATCTTTATATTTTAAAAAATTATATTAATATTTTTTATAATTATAAGATGAAATATCTAGATGTATTTATTTTAATATTATCGATTCTACTAATAAATATATAAAAATATAATATAATCTTAATGCTATAATCGGTGGTGATAGACGATATCGATAGTGATGGATGACAACATCACTGACGAGTGTTATGGATGAAAAGAATGATGCTAAAAGATAAAGACCACTCAATATTTACATCGACACCGATGTAAATATACGATACAAATATTGTGCGATGTCGCTCTACATCTTAAATGTAGAAGAGGATATATAATATCCTTAACAATAATATATTTTAAATTTTATACCATGTTGAGTTATCATTGTGCAGATTAAAAAATGATCAAAATATTTACAAAAATCTCGTACTTTACAAGATAAATGAGGCCGACAATATCCTAAAATGTGAGTGAATTTATTTATTTTATTTTTGGTCAATAAAATTGTTAAGTGATAATTGAGTCTACACTTATCTTTGATGTCCTTTGTGTATGATCATTGAGTCCATTTGGGATATTATTTTATACTTAATAAAATCATTTTTTATTTTTTATGTATCTTTTGATAGTGAATAATGACATTTTTACCAATGTGTTTGTCATTGTAATATTTTTCTCTATAGTATATATCTTATTAGGGTACATACAAAATTAGGATCTAAGCTGTTTTGAGTCTTGTCGGCTAAAGTTGTTTGGGTTTCATATATGCTAAGATAATGTCAACTAGCGATATGAGAAATGGAAGATCATTTGTTTTTCTTTGATATCTATGTTTTGCCCTAAACAAGTAATCTTCTTCCTTTACTTTCGTTAGCTAATTGAATCTTTATCCCACCATCAGTCATTTTGCATACGCCTTCATAAATTACGTGACTGCAATTTGGCCAATATCATTTAGCGAGAAAAAGCTTATCCTGTCCATGTAGAAAAAGCTTAACACGTTGCTCAGCGTCTTCTTACTCCGCGCGATCATCTCCTCGTCCTGCTCGAGGTCCAGCAGCGACGCGAACGCCAGATTGAAGATGAGCGCCGTGCCGGGCGGGTCGAAGTTCTAAGCCTTCATCTGCAGTCACTCTCTCGGGTACCCGAGCCTAGAAGGTCATTGTTACCTTGATCCGTGTCCTTCCTCGCCAAGTGTCACCAAATGTCTCTCGAATCTGCACTCAGAACAAGCATCATTCGGTACGAGTATATGTTGAATTCGGCAGTGCACGGAGCAACTGTGGTGACCGTAAAGAAAGGGAGAGAGAGAACAACCCCTCCCTTCTCAATCAAATAGTAATAACAAGGTACTGAAGTAGCTGTGCCAAGAATTCCAAGGAGGTTTAGCGATTCATGTCCACTTCCATGAGCACGTAGCAATGTGCATTCTTTCATTTCAAGAAAGAAGAAAGCTTTAATTACAGAGGATAAAATCTACAAAATGACATGTGAGAGTCAACAGTCGAAATGGAAAGTAAATGTGAAGGAAAGAATGGGCAGCTCTATCAGAAAGGTCATCAGCCCAATCTGACACCACCGAGGTCCCTTTCTCTGAAATGCTGCTCTTCCTCGGTTTCAAGCAGGACGCAGTAATAGAACTTGTGACGACTAAATCGAGGAACGAATGGCAGGAAATGACACGGAACAAAGGGGAAGAAGAAAAAGGTGTTCATCTTGCAACAATAGCAAGCAAATACGAGACGAATATATATCCTTTCCCCAGACCGCAAGGAACTCGGAAAGTTTGTGTACAGAATAGAACAACTGTGTCAGCCAAAGTTGGTTTAAGACATTAATGCAGATGTTGAAGCAAGCAAGCCTTATATCACCGTCTGTGCAACATAAGAACAGGGGGGCAAGTCTTCAATCTCATACTGATAAGAACAAGAACAACCCATTGTGTTTAAGCAAACCTCGAGCGCACCGAAACCAACTCTTCAACGCACGATAGAGCTTACGTTACGTACGTTATTCATCTCTTCTGCCCTAATGTTCTCCGGACAAAGAAAACAGATAAGCAAGAAACGTACATCAACCATTCTGGCGAGCCATTTGCCATTGCACTCCTCGTAAGAGCCTCGTGTCCACCACCCTACTTGCCTAATGCTTTATTTCTTTATTTATTTTACATTTTTTATAATGAAAAGGAAGTGACATTCCGCATTTATTTCGAAAAATAAAAAAAGAAATAAAACACAACCTAAAGGATAGAAAATACAAAAGCTTACTCCTTGGATCTGATATCTCACTGGAGGAGTCTCTTCCCCTTTTCTTCTGAAAACTAGCATGTCTTCTTGGATATTTTACCAGACTCCACAATCAGATCAATACTACAAACCCAACCCAACGCATGCATGCAATATGTGTGCTTGCTATTTCGGCAGAGACTTCGAGTGATGAGATATAGTCACTGGATTTATGACATGAGATTGTCATAAGTGCATCGAACGAAAATTAAAAGCAAAGAACAATCTTTGCCCGGCATCTACGCACATGAAGATGCCATCTCCATCACATATATCAGGCTTGTTTTGATCTTCCTTTGTGCGTATATATGCATGGTGATGTATCTTTATGGCATGCAACAGAAGAAATGTATGCCTTGTATGTCAGATAACAAGAACAAGGAGTTAATATATACAAGTACCTGAATGGAAGAGTTGCATGCAGGCTGAATACTGATTCTGCAACAGGTTTAAGAACGAAAAGTTACTAAGATATTGGCGCGGCTCAATCAGAATGCAGTGGATGTCGTCTTTTGCTTAGCCGTGCATGGTGGTGCTTTCTGATCGAGCCGGGCCAACATCATAGTGACTGTTTCATGGTTGATTCTTCTCCTTTCTTCCAAACTCTGTTAGCGAGAGAGAGAGAGAGGCTGCATTCTCCTTTCAAGTAAGGAGGAAGAGAAGATGAAGAGGGGAAAGCGAGGTGCGTAGGAGAGGAAGGAAATGTGGTGGAATTTAAGGAGGTCGATGGCGGTGGCAAAAGGATTTAAAACGCCCGACTGCCAAAGGAGAGAGACAGTCTGCAGCATTAATTGTCAACTACCTCCTCGAAATATTCTCTCCTTCCTCTTTCTCTCACCGAGATATAAATGACCAGCGAACGTAGAGAGAGAGAGAGAGAGAGCTACGGTTATGAACACGTATGTGTACATAACCGAGAGTTTAATGAATTGATTCAGAATGACACTTGCTTGTTCTCATTAATCATCTGTCTTACATGTAGCAGAGGCTATCTACACACCATGCACCATGCATGAACTGCAACCTTCAGGTTGTCTTCTCTGTTGATTCTGCAATAACGTCACATGTCAGAGCCGATGGTTCACTCACCGTCAACCTAGCCTCGTCAAATGGTTAGGTACAGTGTTTTCTTTGGCAATGAGAGATTGCGATGACGTGAAAGTCGATGAGATTTCTGTTCTTTGCAA